TTATAATCGACATAAAGATTTGGTTGGATTTGGTGAGTTTTCATACTGAAAATTTGTAATCTTTATACAGAAAAAAAGGATTTGGTGTAACCCTACCAATATCCCACACCCTCTTACTATAACTTGATTGATATTTATTGATGACATTCATCTTGAAAAAGTAAATTTTGAGTCAACTATTATAACTAGCCATATTCACGTGGGGTGTGGATGTCGGTGTTATGAAGAGAAATACCGATGCTCACATCCACATCCTCGTTGATTTTGATGAAATCAGAATGATGTATTCAGTGTAACATTTGATTCTTAAGATAGTCTGTTCATGCTATACAAAGCAGAAGAAAAATCTTATTGAAACTGGAATCAACATTCAAATTCAAGGCTGTATTAAGCCCTTAATTATGTCAGTCTTTAAGTAATGGGTGTGGGTGTGGGTGTGGGTGTGGGTGTGGGTGTGGGTGGGTGTGGGTGTGGGTGTGGGTGTGGGTGTGGATGGGTATGGGTATGGGTGTGTGGGTGTGGGAATCAAGTAATCAACTCTCATACTCACACTCACAGCCCACACTCACCCACACCCACACCACACCCATGCCCATATACCCACACCCTCTAATGCACTAATATTAGAAGGAGCGAAGTGTTTATAATAAATGAATGAATTTGCTAATGACATATTTAGAAAATGCAAAAAAATATCCTTATCCAGCTTCTCTTTGCCTTTCGATCGATTGCATAACATTTTATTTTCTGATCAGACAAATCTACTCCTCCCATATACTTGTTGTACTGAACTAAAGCCAATGGACAGGGAATTTGTTTTATAGTTCCATCTTTGTACTAAAGAAACATAACGTAATGGACTTTTTAATGTTCTTCACACATTGTATCATCCATGTAGTCTTATGTGGATCTCTACCAGCCTTCAACGTTTGTTGAAAATATTTCTCCAAGATTCTCAAAGACTCGAAGATTTGAAAATTCTCGAGGTGAGAAATATATATCCCACTGGACCTCAAAGGGTTAAATAGAACTTCATAAAAAAGAAATAATAAAGCATTTTATTTATTCAATTATTCTATATGAATTAATATGTCACTAATATTTCGACGTTTACTTAGACGGTGTGGGTGTGGGTGTTGATGTCAGCAAAATGAAGACTCACACCCAAAGCCACACACCTAAACCAAGGTCTACACCTACTCACACTCACAGGCATACTTTGCTTGTACAATATTTAGGTCAGGTACAGGAAATTGAATATAATTTTGAAAGGGACCAGAAAGTCCATAGAAGGCAAAACGTTCGCACAATTCACAGAAAACAATTAGCCAAGTCGCTAGCGGCATTCGATCAGAAATATGTTCTAATATCGTCGATTCTTCAGTCGTTAGTTCAATTTCACTGATATCATTAGTTGGATTGCTGACCGTCTGGTTATCAAACCGTTTGCTATTCAGTTCAATATCTTCGAACTAGTATTCAACAGATACGAGAGTCAATAACAACTGTATCACAGGAGACAGAGAAAGAAACGATATCATATAAGAGCAATACGTCTATCGACACAACAATACGATCACAACTAATCGAATTTCATTGTGAGACACAAATGACACATGAAGTTGTTGAAAATCTATCGAATAACAAAGTAATCTCTGATGAGAAAAGAGATAAAGCGAATTATTTCTTTATTCAATTTGAATCATTTGTCACATCGACGCCTTCTAAACAACATAATAACTTAAATTCGAATTAATTTTCTTTCAATTGACCAAAATGTCTTCGGTCGCATTATTTAGTCGAAAGTGAAATTTTCAAAATATTTTCATTGAAAGTATATCTCAAATTATTCATTGAGCAATCCTATCCATTCATTAATTCCCATTAGGAAATTACTATGACATTCTTAAAAGCTCTCCAAACCTTCTACGATTCTTGATTTGGTTAAATGCAATTCAATATGAAAGTGAGAACCTAAATTAGAATTGATATTTGATTGAAAATAAAGTTTCTTCTCTCCACACGTCATCTGTAAATAACATTATAATGGTTGTCACATCTCCATTGAGAAAATCAACGATCGATTAAGGATTTTTCAAATGAATTACTTTCAAACTAATCGAAAAGCAGTCGCCTAAATATTTTCAATCTTAACTCTCTTTCACCTCAACTGTCTGTACTGATTATTTGAATAGTTCTTTTCTTTTTCGAATATCGATTAAACATCTCCATCAAGATATATTTATTGATTTTCAACAAAGTTCAAATTTTAGATGATCATCGCTCGTCGGACATAGTGTTACACTAAAAGAAGAGAAAAAGTAGAAAATAAATTATTCAAGTCAATATGATCGACAACCTCTTCTGTCGTTCGATGTCGAAGACAACAACTTGTCGAATGGGTTGATCCATTTGACTCAGAGTCGATTTCAGAGAGATCGAAACTGACTCAACATTTGGAAGTGATCCATCAAGAGACAGGACTCGAGTATGAACGGTGTTTGCTTTGAGCAACATGTTTGCTTGCCTAATATCAAATCAGATAGTCGACAAAAATATTTCCAACGAAAACAAACTTACTGATCGAAGAGTAAAGAGAAAGAATTCTGATTTGATCCTTGAAGAGTCAATTGAATACGACCGGTAGTTTGAATTTTCTCATTTCCCACATTCAATGTTACCGTGTAGAGATGCTCTAAATCAATTCTCTTCATATTAAATAATTGTGTGTGATTACCTACGACAGTAGGGAAATTGATTTGCACTTTGTGTCGACAGATAGAATGATCCTTGATGCAACGGGGAAGCATAGAGACCCATTCGATTGATTGGATTTCGGCTACATTCGTCGGTCTGTGTCAATTTATCCATCGAAGAACAAGCCACAGAGACATAAGAACAATTCAAATTTCGAATGGAATCAGTAAATGTATACACTGAGAACAAGTGACTACACAATACTGATTCAACGAAACCTAAATAAACAATTCGAACTTTGTCTAAACTCTCTTAATTGAAAAAATATTAATGATCATCATTCATTTGACATATTTATACTGTCCATTCGAATAAATCTCAATCAATTCGCTATTTGTATCAAAGATGTTTGAGTGAAGTTTGTTGTCTTCCCCAAAGAATGATATTTTCTCACTGAAGAAATATCGAAAACGTCAGGTATTTTGGATTATTTATCATGTCTGTTGGACATGAAAAATTGAGACATTCGAAATGAACTTTTAAAGAATCTTCTCATAAGGAATATCTAATCGGTGACTACAATAATTGACAAGAAGAGGCTTCGTGTTACCATCGTTATCGAATGCATTAATAATGGTATTCCAAATTTTCCCACCCATTTTAGGACACTGAGGTTGTTCAAGACCTCCATTCGGATAGAAATCGACATGACCTAATGGCTGCAGAAGACCGAGACCCAATTGAATATGAGCTTGTCCATCCGTGTGAATAACATCGACAAATTGAGCATCAGTCGGATCCAAACGAACACGAGGATCAGTCCGTTCAAAGTTAGGCCCGGCTGGATCAAGACCTGTGATGCGACTCACATGAGGAACAATACGAGAGCCTGCATAACCTGCTGCATGCGCACCCAAACTATGACCAATTAAGTGAATTAATTGTGGATCTGCTCCATGTTTGGCGATTAACTCATTGATCAACAACGACACTTCAGCGCCAACCATCTGAGTATTGGCTGTTGCTTGAGTATACGGAAAATGATTCGTTTTCGACCAATCGACAAAGATCAAATTGCTATCTTCCTAAAAATTCAAATACGAGTTATCGAATTCATCGAATCAATTTGAGAAATTGATTGATTACCGTATCGAAGAAAGCCTGCCGCATTTGATCGTACCATGGTGCTTGATAATTTTCGATCATTCCATGAATAATCACACGAGTCATTCGATCTGGTCGCCACGTGCCCAAGCCAAGATTTGTCTTCTGACGACCGATTTCGACTGCATCGCGATGTTCTCTGATCACAAAAACATTTTCCTATCATTTATTTCATCGTTTCTTTGATTTTCTCACCGTGTATATAGAAAAAATCGAGTGAGTACCGTCGACGGCTATACATTAGATTTCCAGTCTTTCATTTCAATCAAGAAAAGAACACTTACAGATTGAGGTAATAGAGCAGTTGGTCGTTGCAACGTACCTCCTAACAATCGCATAGATAAGAAACATGAAGATTAAAATAAAATACAGACCGAATGGGGGCAATGTCGTGAAACAGCCATATTCATCATAGCATCTATTGAACGGATTCAAAAGATTTTTACCAGAGAAAATGCCACTGTGTTCACTTTCGACTTTATTTTGCACCAGAATCACAGCGAACAAAAACAATAATGCTTTTTTCATTACCATTCGAATTAAAATCGATTCTGCTCGATCTAATCTTCTTATAAATGAAGAAGAAAATACGCAAATTGTAATTTGATACTCTAGACTTCAATATCAAATTAAACGGAATTGAGTTAATCCTGTCACAAGGTCGTCCAAAAGCATTTCACATTGAATCAATTACAAAATAACGACGAAGCAAACTATTCGAGAAAAGAGATACTTCTATTTTTCAAATCATATTACTTTAAATTGTGATAAATTTGTATGACATTTCAAGTGTCTGTACATTATGATACAGCTCTACAAACTTGATGAAAAAAATAAAATAAAATAAAAACGTCGAAAAATCTTTTATCTATCTGATCAGAGCGGCTCATATTTGTCGTAATACATGTTTATTCTACGATTGAAAAAGTAACAAGACTATCATTCAAAGTAAGGGTATGGATGCCGTTATTTATTGACCCACACCTACACCCAAAGTTTTTCTATTGAAAAAAAAACTATAGATTTTTTGTAGTTAAAAATGGTAATGATGCAAATAAAATATTATTTTCTTATGGTTATGGTGCATCATTATCAACATCAACTAAACGACGTCTTCAACATTCAGTTCATTTAGCTAAACGTGTTATTCAACTTGAACAAGCAAATACATCATTAAGATTAGAATTAGATCGAGAACGAAAAAGAAAAAAAATGATATTCAACAAGAAGTTTGTTGGAGTTTTTATTTTTATTTTTTTTGTATTTTTAGCTTGATAATGCGAATAAAATATTAGATCAAGCACAACAACCGTATGATTTTCTTATTGCAACTGTATGTAATAAAGATGCACAATTAAAAAGAGTTCACGATACTATTTAACAACTTCAACAACAACTTAGGTATTTTCTTTTTTTTTTCATTATTAATTTTGTAAAATTTATTAAAAATATAGAGCATGTGGAAATGAACGGCAATCATTAGTTAAAACAAATAATCATACTTGAATATCAAGAAATTTTATTTAAAAAAAAAAACATTTTAAAGAAAAATAATTTCCTTTTTATTATTTAGCTATTAAAAGTAATGAAAAATGTTATTATGAATTTACAACATCAAGAACCACAAAAATTAATACATCGTTCACCATTTCCACCATTTAATAACAAATATCGTTCACTTACACCACCAACTTATCAATCAAGACGAACAATTGGTTTTGTTTGATCAACTTAATCAACATAATAATCCACCACCAATGGTTTTTGAAAGTTTAGAAAAAAAATGTTTTTTTTTTCTTTATTTTTCGTATAAAATAAATTCTTTTTTAGACATCAACAAGAAAAATATCGAAAAATATATAAAATGACGAACAACTGAAAATTCTATTAATGTTTTTTTTGCGTAATATTTGGTAGAAAAATGATTTGTTCTTTATTTTTTATCAGTTATCCACAGTGTTTGTTGTATTTGTAATTATTGAAAGATCTTTTTAATTGATATTAGACTGTTTATTGAATAGACCTGTCTGTTTTATGGGTATGAACTTAAATGTACCATCATTACCTCATTATTGTAAAGAGTAGAAATATTTAGTTTACAATAGAATGTAAGAAAAATGTTCAGCTGGACTAGAGAACAACGAGAACTTTTATGGATGGGACTGAAAGTTTAAAACGTATGCAAAGTTTCTCATTATTTAGATATACAGTTATGAATGAGATAGACGTTTGATTTATGGAGACTTTTTGCACATCTTCAAAACCTGGTGGCATATAGCTATTAGTTCTTTCCGATAGAATGGCGATGATAATACAAAGATGAAAATAACAGTAGTCAGTGGAACGAATGAAACAATATATTCAACCAAATAAATAGTCTTCTGCCATTCGTATTTCATACAAGCAAATACAAATGTAAAAATGAGTCTAGGCAAACTAAAGAGTGTAAGTAGGATAGAACTGATTAGAAATGGTTTATATATCAAAATTTCTTTTGCCATCATAACATGATAACTTTTTTTGTGATTTTGATCAATAGTCGATATCAATTTGCGACGTGTTTAATGTATGAGAAAGAAAGCTGTTGATATGACATTGGCAGTAAATAACCGAATTAGATGAATTATATTCGAGATTGATTCGTATTGCTCAAGCGATCCATGTGGCACAAAATTAAGCATACACCAGACTTTCACTTGTCGATAGAGTGGTTCATGAATCGATCCGATAATTAAAATCAGAAAAAGAATAATAATGACGTACCATGCGATACGACGATTTTTATTTTTATTATAATTAATACCGTGTATGACAGTTATAGCTCGATCTACGACTACACATGCTGTTAACCGATCGAATACCTTAGGCAAAAGAATGAGAAGAAATTCAAGTAGTAGACAATTGCTCACATATGCAAAGGCACGTGATCCACTTAGTACATAACTAATAGGTGCACGAAACACAATCATGGTCATTTCAGCTAGAATCGATGCAGTCAATAAATAAAGACCATATGCTACCTTATGAATTGTAGATTGTGCAAAAACGCTAATGAACAGAATATTTCCATCAATGGCAACAATAGACATTATGATTACAATTCCGATAATAATTTTTATGACAACAGGCTGAGCCGACAAAGGTTCATTAATAGAAGTGGCACTTTAACTTTATTTTACTTTAATAAAGTAAAGTAAAGTAAAGTATGCAGTTGACGGTTATTGATTTATTAGTTTATTATTAGACATTAATCTCATTCTAATACGTTAGAAGTTGCATTGAAATACTGATCGAAGGTTCCGAGAAATTTGAGTTTAATTCTACCACAGAGAAAGTCAGCATTGAATTTCTGAATACTTTTCACAATTTTCATTTCTACCTTATCACAATCCAAATGTTTACACATGGATTACCATCAGATATCGAAAAACATATTTTTCGGCATTCTATCAGGGAACAAGGGTTTTCTAGTTGGTAGAAGTTTTCAATGTGACCTTCGGATCTTCGCTATTTCTCAACAAAATTTTACTACTAACAGATCCATTTTTAAGCCTCTGAATGGCGGACTGCACGAAAGTAAATGTCGAAAAATGATCGAGATATGGCTTTTGTAAGGCGATAACAATGTGCAAGCGATATCTTCAGTAAGCTTCAACCAATTGAGAGCGTAGTAATGTTTGCAATCAGGATTCACTAAGATTGACATGCACTTAAAAGATCAGTTCCAAATGATGGAATATAATATCACTTTATGTGAAGGAGTACTTTCTTTTGTCCACAAGTGTAAATGGTCTGAGCAATTCACTGGTTTAGGTAAGGGCTAACCAACGAAAGTCCTAATCCGAAAGGTATCCGTATCAACCTAAATCAGTGGGTATCTCTTTCTCACATAGGCCTACGAAAATTTGTGTTAAATTCAGATATAATACTTTTATGGAATGAAATAGGATTTTTCTATTCGAAAATCATTCAGTATAAGTCAAACAAAAGGGGCAACTGGGGTCTCAAGGATAGGATTTTGAGGACAATTTCTTTACTAGATATGAAATTTCATGTGGAATATATGGTCACTAAAGAAAGCACATTTAGTTGTATGCTTGACAAAGACATCTGATCACGACACCGCTAGAAACTCTAATTTTGTAAGATCGGCAAAATATTTTGAGAGATAATCAGACCTAATCGGAGCGGTATTTACCAATTATTGATAGAATGAATCGAATACCCAAGATGTTCTCATAGTTACAGGCAGAAAAAAAGATTAATGTGCCAAAATGAATCTATTTTACGACGAAATAAAACAGTATTTTAATGATGTTTCTGGTCAAAAGTCAGCTTTTAAAACTTTCAAGAGGCCCTTCTTATCTTTTTTATTACCTAAATGCCTTTGAAAATAAATGAGATATTCGTAATCAACTCACATGATATCATTGAATTATCAAGATTTGTTATAGAATAGCGATAGAAATTTTTTCGATACATAACAGGAATCCTAGATGTGAAAAATTGGGTTGTGATAAAGTCGAAAATAAAATTATGATAAATAGTCATGGCTCAATGCCAATTTTCAAGGTATTAAAATTAGGTTCAGATACTTCAGGATTGTCGGCCCGTACTTCGATGCAGTTTTTGACATATTTGAATTTGATTAATATCTGATAATAAACTAATAAAGCAATAACCGTCAATTACATGCTTTACTTTATCATATTTTATGATGCTTTACACGTTCAGTAAAGTTAGAGACACTTTACTTTACTCGTTAAAGTAAAGATAAATTGCCATCCCTACTACCAAGATGAGGATATTATTGGTATCGATTTAAATACATTTTATCACCTATATTTCATGATAACTTGCCGTTTCTCAACTATTTTGTGCTAATTATAAGTCTTCCAAGTGTCTTATACCCAATATACAGGCCTGATTACAAATTCGATATTTTCTTTGTTTGTTTCTAATAGAGTTGATAATGTTTAGATTGATTTTATATTCCTTTTATTTAATTGGTTGACTTTTCTTTCAGTTACTGTAATTTTATTTCCATATATGCATGAAAAATTTTATAATTATTTCATTCGATGAACTGAAAAGTTTGAGTTCCTTAAGTAGGATCGTATTTGAGAAAAAAGAAAAATAATAGAACAGAAGAGCCAAAACAGAGTAAATATTCGGCGACGAACAAAGTGAAGTTTGATGTGCAGGAGAAGGTTTAATGTAAGAGAGAAGGAAATATAAGTAAAGATCAAGGCAGTTGAGCGTGTCCGATTATATTCAACGTGACATTTATTCGTCTTTGTCTCCAGTATGTTCTAATCTACAAACTTAGACAAATTTGGCCATCCGATATCTTGAGGGTGTGGGTGGGTATGAGTGTCAATGAAAAGAACACCCACACCCCACCACAAGTCTACGTACTGTAAAAATGTCAGTCAAATCGATATGACCGATCGAGCAACGTGATCTTGGTTGATATGGATACCTTCTAAGATAACACAAGAAAGCGTATGGTAATGGGTAAAAATATCATAACTTCATTTTCGAACAGACTCTTTTTATGTTGATATTTTCTTCTTGCCCTACTAATAATATTTGTCTCTTCTTTTTATCGTTCTCTTCCATTAACGACCCCTTTATAAACTACTGTCAGGAATGAATAAATTTATTGTAAACTACGGCAACATTCTTCCTACTCTCGATACTAAGAGATCATTCGGATTATATATTTTATTTTTACTTGTCGAATATTCGTATATTACAATATTTTAAAAAAATAACTGCAATAGTGTAATTTCACGCACGTTATCATTATTACATAAGGGGTGTTTCATAAGTAACGACCCTCTTTTTGTTTTCTTTCTCTCTTTGTCGTTTTCAACCGTGGACAGATATTCAATATATATTTTTAAAGAGCATCATCTAAGCTATCAATCAAAAAAAAAAATTATCCAATTAGAATGTATTGTAAGAGAGAACCAGCTTGATAAAAATTTTGAAAAATTTTCGTTACATGCATTTTTTGCTTTTTGTCTATCCCGATCGAAAAAACGGCTTCCTCATTCATGAGTTACAGGTGACATCTGTCCTTCTGTTTCTATGGCACTGTATTTTGATTATTATTTTAATTCATGCTATATTTTTATCTGAATATATAATGGCTAACGATCAGCTTGTTCTGCTTAAATATGATCTACTCTAAATCTTTGGAACAAAATAAACCAAATGCTCTATGTTTATATAATAGGAAATCATATGATATATTGATCATCATACTATTATATATAATTTTAAACATAAAAACTATCGTATTTGATCGAATTAGAATACTCCGTTGAATATTTTCTATTTGAACTAATCGAAAATTATATCGATTTTTTTTTTGAATTTTCTTTCCATAGAAATATTACGATCAAAGTCACTAATAATTTCTATCAATATAAGATATGATTCATATATTTCAAAGCATTTTGTTTTTTACAATAATATGTTTTTATGTTTATGTTGATTGCTTCAATGAATAATATCTTTTTTTTTGTCAATTACCTTAGATAAATTATCGCATGACAAAAATAATATTTAAATGTAATTATATATCACGATTTTCTCTTTCGTTTACATATGCTTGTCGTTAAAAAGGTACGGACTTTGCATTATATGCAATAGTTGACAATATTTTATACATATACACCTATAGAATAGAATGAATACAATATTAATCTGGTTATTTCTAATTGGTCTTGGTTTAGTTTGTTTATTTATTTTTGGAATTTTCAATACTTGTCTTGATTTCTTCTTAAGCTATTTTTATACTCGGCATAAAGTACTTCGTCGTCGTCAACGTCCATCACGTATTTTTCTTGTTCGACATGGTCAATCTCAAGCAAATATTGATACAAGTAAAATAGATTTTTTTTTCTTCTTTTGTTTTAAATTGAGTTTGTTTTTTTTTTGTTGTAAATAGCTTTATATGCTCGTATAGCTGATCATGATATTGAATTAACGGAAAAAGGCCATGAACAAGCTATTGAAGCTGGTAAAAAATTACATTCATTAATTGGTAAAGAATCGGTTTATGTTTATATGAGTCCATATACACGTTCAAAACAAACTTGGTCATATATACGGAAATCATTTTCACCATTACAAATTATAACTGAACGTGAAGATCCACGTTTACGTGAACAAGAATTTGGTAATTTAGCTAATTTAACAACATTACCACAAATATTTGAAGAACGTGATCGTTTAGGACATTTTTTTTATCGTTTTTCATGTGGTGAAAGTGGTGCTGATGTATATGATCGTGTATCATTATTTCTTGATACATTATTTCGTGAAATGGATAATGGACATCATGATCCAACACAAAATATAATTATTGTAGCACATGAACTTTTCATGCGTTTATTTCTTATGCGTTATTTTCGTTGGACTGTTGATGAATTACAGAATTTAAAAACATTTAATAATTGTGAAATATGTCAATTAATAAAAATTGATGGTGTCTATACACTTAATGGACATAGAAGACCGCCAACACAATCATCATAAAAAACAAAAAAACATCTTCGTTTTTTAGTTTTCTTTTATGTTAATAAAATTTTTAGGAATAACAAGAAATTCTTGTCGTTTCTAGCAATGAAATAATTAGATTTTGAATATTAGTTATTCTGTGAGTCATTTAAAGACATAAATAATATGGCAAAACAATAAATAACTGTGCTTCTGACAACGTCAGAGTTTACGTGAAAGGTGAGAAAGAATAATGTATTCCTCAACGAGAGAAAGACAGAGAAAAAAACGATTCTGTTAGGGTGAATCATCATTGGAGACCTGAATTGTACAAAACATGCCATGTATTTTATCTCTTTCTAACTATCAGTAATACTATTCGTAAATATTTCAAAAATTTATTGAAACTTGCTCGAAAACAAGAAATGTTGTTCATCCAATTGTAATAGCAATCATAAGAACGACAACATCATCTCAATCAACTATAAATATTATCCAACGTTATTCTTATATACAAACTACTTGATCAACATCAAAAAATGATTTTCTTCATATACCTTTTCATTTCGTTTTTTTGTATCATTCTCTGAATTATGATTTAATAAATTTAGTGTCGCTTTTGTTATTTAGTAGGATAGAAATAGAATGGTTAAATCCAATATTAACGGATTGTTATGCATCTTGTACGATCCAGAAGACGTTTTCAAGAAAAAAAAAGAAGACCACGAAATGTGAATAGATGTTATGTTTTTCTTTTTTTTATCAAAGACATTAAAAACACTTTATTTAGATCATTGTAGGATCGATTATTGAACTACTTTTATTATATTTTTATTTCTATAGCACATATGAATACAAACAAATTAAATGAAATCAAGATTAGTATAATCACACAGGTATCATTGCACTTTCTATTGATTAGATTAACATTTAATTTTTGTTAAAGAGGAAAATCAAATAAAAGTTATTAAAAATTATATTTAATCATGAAGAACACGACGAATGATTTGTTCTAATGGTTTGGTATTTTTATCCATAGTTACTAACTGCCCATCACACACGACAAATGTTCTATTAACAAGTACAAGTGCTATTCTTTGCGACAAAAGCTTTAGTTATAAATTGTACAATCTTTTACTGTCATCGAATCAAATATACGTAAATCAATTATAACATAACGACAAATACGATCTTTAGATTTCATTTGTAACAAAAAATACTTTCTAATCTTTGTGTTGGTAATAGAGACATTTTTCTTATAGCTTCTAATAATGTTATTTTACCACATTCACGAGCATAATGACCACAAAATGTATCACTACTCATTAGAGTAATCGGACTTTAACGACAATCAATAACAGTCTGTTCTGGAATTGAATTTATAATAATCAATCCGTCTTCTTTTCGATATTTAGTAAACCTAGTTGCATCCAATCGTTCTCCTGTATTCAGTAGATATCCGTATAACAGTGGTGAGTGAAGCAAACTACGACGCATTTCAATCTTGTTTTCATCAGTTAATTTAAAATTTAGTGATTATATATAGATATGAGAAAAAGAAATAATTGAGAACGCAAGAAATACTTTTAAAACGTCTTCGTCTTTCTTTTTGTCTTCTGTTGTTGATCGTATTGCTAGGCGTTTGGAAAGCATTTCTTTTATGGCGTTTCGATTATTACAAGTCTCAATAATAAGGGTGTGGGTGTAAGTGAAGAGAAGATAAACACCCACACCCTCACCCTAGCCGAAGATTTACTTACGTATCCGTGTGACATAGTATTGGATTCGTCAAAGACACTTTATATTGTCGATTCAGGCAGTCACCAAGTTCAACGTTGGTTGTTTAATGAACCTTCACGAATGACAGTAGCTAGAACGACAAATGGAGCAACGTGAACAGCACTAAATTATCTGTCTACTCCGAACGATGTTGCAGTGGACACAAGTGGTAACATCTACGTTGTAGATACTTCTAATCATCGATTTTTACGTTGGACCATTGGTGCATTTTCTGGTACTCTAGTCGCCAGAACTGGTAAGAAAATTTGACAAACCACTACTTTCTTAGATTTATATGGGTCACAAAGTTCTCTATTTTTTTTTCTCAAAATTGCTCTTCTTTTAAGTGAAATCTATCATTATTTAAGCAATTCTGTTGTTCAAATCGTTGAGTTTTTTATTCGAGGCATTTTTCTCTAAATAGTGAATGACTTCGACGGAAACGATACGATATGCAGCGAAATGAACAGACAAGGAAAAAGAGAAAATCAGAAGTGACCACAGTAATAACTAGGCAGCATGCGTGACGTATGCTCCAACTATCTAACATCCTGGAGCTAATGTGTGAACATGACTTATTGACTAATCAACATCTCAGAAAACGTAATGTATACACATGCAGGATACACTATTCGCCTTCTCATTCGACGTTTCCATTCTCCCATTTTTGGTACTTCAAACGCGCGTATTCTCTTTTCCATTATAGTTCAGCATATAATTTTTCCTCCATGATTTAATAAATGAGAATTTCTCCCAATTACTTGTATTT